CCTTACAGGCTTGTGCTGTCACACCAAGTTTGATAAGTTTGATATCTGCCTAGAACATAGATTTCTTAGATTGGATTTGAAAAGAGTGGCTTATATGTTCTGCATTCTGTGGTACACGTGGGAAGTAGAACCTGACTTTGTGAAGTCACGTTTCAATGCTAAAATTTTTTGACTATGGAATAAATAAGTAGAAAAGTGTTTGAGTGGTTTTAGGACTTAAATGACTTACCATCTTCATTGAAGATGTTTTGAATAATTATTGATGATCTTTCACAGGGAAAATGAAGTGGAATTTTTTTTTTTTTATACTTACTGTTTGATGAGTCAAAAGTTCCAAGTTTGGTAAGAGAAGAAGAACAAGAAAATGTCCCATTCTAGGACCTAGTAATCATCCGTTTTAGTCAAACTTGTGGGAAGATGTATTTTTCAGGGTAAATATATATTATGTGCATTTGTAGAAATAGTCCTTTGTCAGTGGTTATATTTATAAAGCCATCCGAGTGAAGCCTGTGGTTTGCTTGGAGAGTTACAGACTGCAGCCCGTTAGATGCCTCTTGGAAAAACAGTTGTGTTAACAGTAATTCTGACTCACCCCCAAAGAATTCAGCTGGTTATCTGAAGAGATTGCATCATCCTTAGCTAGTGTGACATGCTCCCCACGTGTGACTTGAGTTAAACTGCCACTCTGAATGGAGAGATGATGGAGGTCAGTTATATGTAGGGGCCTCTCCATCTTGTGGATACCAGCAGGAGTACTGAGAGTCCAGGGTGCCTGGGGTGAGCTCGGACTCTTGTTCACAACGACAGACTTGCTGCTGCTGGCCATCAGGCTTTCCCCATCTGAGCAGGGTCTCACTATGTAATCCATGCTGGCCCTGAACTCACGGTGATCCTCCTGCCTCATGCTCCCAAGGGCTGGGATTATAGGCGTGTGCCACCATGCCTGGTACCCATCTGAGCAGTTTTATGTGCTTTGCAGTTTTATGTGGATTACCTCTTTCAGTCCTCAAAACAGACCTATAATTACCTTCATTTTACTAATGAGGAAGCGTGATGAGAAATCACATGAAAAACTTGGCCATTTACTATGTAATGCTGGCTCTGTTTGTCCTGCTTTAGAGCCCATGCTCTTGACTGGTATATTTCTTCCATTGTTACTTCAGAGACATCAAAAACTTCAAATTCAATCTGTCACAGGATTTCCTTACCCTGCGGTACTGGGAATTGAATCCAAGGCCTTCATGCTGAGTTATAGTCCCAGATTTTTTTTTTTTTTTTTGGCTAGATAGGGTCTTAGTAAGTCACTAAGTTGCCCAGGCTAGGCTTGAACTTGCAGTCCTCTGCCTCAGCATTGTAGAGTGCTGAGATTAAGGTGTGTTACAATGCCCAGCTTCTTTTTTTCCTTTTATTTATGTTATGTGGAAAAGTGGCCCTTCCTTCTTGCCTTCTTTCTTGCTCCGGTCCGCGTTCTCTCTCTCTTCTCTCTTCTCTCCTCTTACCCCTCGCCCCTCTTCTCTCTTCTGTATCCTTTCTTCTCTCTCTCTCCTCTCTCTCCCTTTCTCTCTTGATATTGAACCAAGGGCCTTCATCTCTTTTTATTTTTTTAAGATTGAGGGGTCTAAGCTATGGCACACGTGCTGCAGCAGGCTGTTTTTTATCACTGAAAATTGTAAAAGATTTGCCATCTCTGATCTCAGCTGTCCAGGCTGGTCTCCTACTTGGGAACTTTCTGCTGCAGCCTCCCAGGTAGTTGGGCTTATAGGCACATACCTTACCCTTCTAACCTGGGTTAAAAGTAACCTTTTCTGTGTTTTTCCCAGCTGAGGTCACCTTTCTTTCATTCAGCTGTTGGGTTCCGTTCTGCGCTCTGCTGGCAGCGTAGGTGGTGTTGACAAACAGTAGAGCCGCTGCCCATGGGGTTTTCTTCACCTTCCAGTTCCAGCTTTTGTTAGTGGCAGTGGTCATGACATTTTGGTGCCTCCTTCACGTGCCTTTTTTGCCCACATTGCCTTGAAATCATCACCTCTTTTGTTGCTTAAACTAATTTTACAAAAAGCTTTTCTTCCCAAGAAGTACTGTGTTCAAGATCAGCCTGGAGCTGAGGATCTAGCTGTGTGGTGAAGAGCTCACCTAGCATGTGTGAGATCCAGGGTTCAGACCCTGGTATTGGAAGAAAAAAAAATCAGGCTGAACAACACAGTGAGACCCTATCTCAAAACACTAAAAAACAAACAAACAAAAGTAAAGTCTTTTTTAATCTCAAAAGAAATGAGAAAAATGCATGTCTTAGTTTATTTTCTGCTGCTACATCAGAATTCCTGAGGCCCGGAAAGATAGATAGAACAGAAGTTTATTTGGCTTATGATTCTGGTGGCTGAGTGTCCAGGCATATGGTCCGGCATCCAGGAAGTTTCTGGGGAGGACTTCCCGGCAGAAAGGCCATCAGTGTGTTGGGGAGAGGAAGCTAGGGAAAGCTGAACTCACTCTAAAGTATAAACCAGCCTACTCTCCTGATAACTAATCCAGGCCCAGAGAATTAGAACGCCCTCAGGTGGTGGCAGCTCCTGCAGAGCCCTTTCACATGTGCAGTGGGGCAAGCCTGAGCTTGAGTTTTGGTTCTGGGAAACCAGTGAGCACCACGGGAGGGAAAATGGGTCGGAATGTCAGCAGTGACTGCCTCTAGGTGGGGACAGTATTACACTTATTGTTTTGTTCATCATGGTCTTCATCTCCTGCAGTGATCTTTCTGATTTGGGAAATTTTTGAAAAACAAATTCAGAAAAAGGATCACAAAAAGGGAGCAAATGAGAGTATTTGAAGAGATACAATAGTAACTTGTCTGTCCATAATATGTGCCTGTCATTGCTTTCATGGCCCATACGTAAAGAAAGTCTAAAAAAATAAACACTAATTGCTAATAAAGGAATCACAATTTTTTTGTTTTGTTTTTTAGAGACAGGATCTCACTATAGTTTAGGCTGGCCCTGAACTTAACCATGTAGCCCAGGTCAGCCTTGACCATGTGGCAGTCCTACTGGTTCAGCTTGCCGAGTACTGGGATTACAGGCCTGTGCTACCATGTGGCCTGGGAATCACAGAAGGATTTTGCTTCTCTTTGATGATGTAGGGCCTTTATTTTTGTAGTAATTACTTATTTTCAGCCAGGAAAATCACTCTGTAGTGATAAAGTATTTTTCTAAGGGTCGGAATATCAGGTTAATAATATCCCTTAGTTATTGCGGGCTGATCAGGGCCACAACCTCCCAAGCGAGTGTACAGTGAAGGCTAAATAAAAAGAGGTAAATGGAATAATTTCAGGCTTCCAGGAGGATCAAAGCCCTCTCACAGAATTTGAGATTCTCTCAGGGCTAAGACCAAGACTTTTTCTGGGTGGCCCATGTTTGTTTAGTTATCAGAAGAAGGGAAGGGAGTACTCAAGAAGGGAAGAACCACTCAAGGACCACCCCAAGAAAGGTATTAAGTTAATCCACCCACGAGTGAGATGTCTGAGGCTACAGTCTATCTAGTTGAGGTTGGATCCAGATGTCCTTGGCTATGATCTTGTCTTACCCTTTGAAGCTTTCCGGCTTTATCCACCATTACAGGCCTTAGGAGAGATCAGTGACTCACAGAGGTTCGCTTACTATGAGTCCACTGCCAGTCTCCAGACAAGGAGCCTAGGCTTTGGACAGACTCACAAGGAAACACGAAAAGCCCATTGGTTAATTTAAGTCCTGCATCAATGGAATGTCTATTTGGTGGGCAGCCTAAATGACAACATATTACAAATGTTGTTTTGTTATTGGATGATACCAGATGTCCAAATTACTCTGGCAGTGGAAGTCCCCAGGTAACTTTGCCAGTCTGTCTTTGAGAGAATTCTTGGAGAATTGAAGAGAAGACAAAGTGAAGAAGCTGCTGATGGAAATGATGGAATGCATCATTTAACCATCACAGTTGTCCCTCGCTATGTCATGGTTCACATATTGTGGCCTCACTGTATTGCAGGTTTCTTAAAAAAATACATCTAATTCTGTATCATGGAGTTTTTGCTGTGTTGTGGGATTTTGTGGTATGTAGGTATTTATATAATATTTATGGTTTTAATTTTTGCCTAAAAATTTAAAATAAATTAATTCAAACATACTAAAAGAATAGTAAATAAAAACAAAATATAGTATGTATTTCATCAGTGGAGGAATACTGTACTGTACACAGTGGAAATGCAGTACACCACTACCGCTTGTACAAGTTTGCCAACATGAGATTGTACGTGGCACACTATTGGCTGATGGAATGGAAGGCGACCGACCACAGCTTTATGTTGTATCCTGGGCACTGATTGGCTCAGTGACCATAGCATTGGTCTCTTTGCTCTCCCACACCACGCCCATACATTCAGCATCTCTCCTTGTCCACTTCACATCAAGTACCCATATAGAATTTTACATATTGTTAAAATTACGTAGGTTTAAGAGTGTAGAAAGTGTTTAGGGCATATGAAGTGTTTATAAGAGCATGGAAAAGGTTAATAAGAGAGCAGGACAGGTTTATAGGTGTGTGGGAAGGGTTTATAAAGCCTTAAAATATATATAAATAATAAAATAAATATAATCCACTACTTCACGGATTTTCACCTGTCACTGAGGTCTCTGGAATGTAACTCCTGCAACAAGTGAGGGATCACTGTATTTGAGACTTCAAAAGACTGAGCTATGGAATTATGTTCATTTCTTTGTTTTTTGTTTTGTTTTGTTTTGTTTTTTGTTTTTCCGGTACCAGGAATCGAACTCACGACCTTGCGCTTGCCAGGCAGGTGCTGTACCGCTGAGCTAAATCCCCAGCCCCCTGATTTTGTTTTTGTTTTTGTTTTTTTTTTCTGGTACCGGGAATCGAACTCACGACCTCGCGCTTGCCAGGCAGGCGCTGTGCCGCTGAGCTAAATCCCCAGCCCCCTATGTTCATTTCTTCATTCGTTTCCTCTCTGTCCCTTCTTCCAGGTTGGTGGTACCAAGGCTGGTGTAGTCCGATTTCTTGGGGAGACCGACTTTGCCAAGGGGGAATGGTGCGGTGTGGAGTTAGACGAACCTCTTGGGAAGAATGATGGTGCTGTTGCTGGAACGAGGTTGGTTTAGAATTATGTGACCTATGTCCGTCTCCCACGTGAAAGTGCTCTAGAGGGTGGATCTCACGTGTGTGGAATAAAATGAAAATGAGTCCTCTGAAGGACTGCACTTTTATTTCCTGCCTACTGGGTTCATTCTTTCCTCCCTCCCCCCTCTTCTCCCTCTCTCTTTCCCTGTCTTGTATTCATTCTTGGGGATTGAATCAAGGGGGTGTTCTATCACTGAGCTTTGTCCCAACCCTTTAAAATAAAAAATATATATATATTACTATTAGAATTTTTGAAACAGGATCACATCAAGTTGTCCGGGCCAGCCTGGAATTTGTGATTCTCTCGCATTAGCCTCCCACGTAGCTGGGATTACAGATACACACTGCTGTGCCCAGCACCTTGCTCCCCGCCACTAGAACTGGAGTTGTTCTTTTGACTACCTCTTCATTCATGTGTAAGGCACGTCTGAGTAAATTCTGAATAAGCATTTGCATTATTTTTCAAAATAGGAAACTCTGTGTTATTCTTTGGGTTTTTTTTCCCTTTGATAGCAGTTGATCTTCGCAAGTTCCTAGATGTCTGGGGCTGGAATGAGGCAAAGAGAAGGTGACTGCTTTTGTTAGGAAAAGTCTGATAAGAATTGCGTCCATGCAAGGATAACCTCACTTTTGTCTCTTGGTACAGGATGCTCGTACAGGTGGGAGTGAAGTAGTGCAGAGGGCTGTAAGAGGCATTTCCCAAGCTTTTTTTTCCTCCGGGGATTGAGCATAGTAGTGCTTCACGACTGAGCTGTATCCCTCCCTACCCCTTTTTATTTTGAGACAGTGTCTTGCTAAACTGCTAAGGCTGACCTTGAACTTGCATTTTTAAAATTCTTTTTTTTTTTTTTTTTCCTTTTTGAAACAGGGTTTCACTATGCAGTTCAGGCCACCCTTGAACACACTTTGTAGCCCAGTCGGCCCTCAGACTCACAGTGATCCTCTTGCCTCAGCCTCCCCAATTGCTGGGATTACAGGTGTGCGCTACCATGCCTGGCATCGAACTTGCAAATTTGTAATCCTTTTGCCTCAGAACTCCTGAGTAGCTGGGATCACAGGCATGCAGCACCACAGCTTACAGGTCCCGTACTTCTCAAATGTTTTGAAGCCCTTAGGCACAGATTTGGTAGATGAAGCATTGTTATTACTAAGTGTACAATATATATTAATGTCACTTGATCACTGAAATACCGCATTTAACATATGACCTATAGAACATTGATTAAGAGCCAGCTGTGGTGTGTGCATGTCTATAATCTGAGTACTGAGCAGTTGAGGCAGGAGATCACACTGCAAGTTCAAGGCCAGCCTGGACTGCATAGTTCTTTTTGTTTTGTTTTTTTTCTGGTACCGGGAATCGAACTCATGACCTTGTGCTTGCCAGGTAGGCACTGTGCCGCTGAGCTAAATCCCCAGCCCCTGGACTGCATAGTTCTTGACCAGCCTGAGCTACATAGTGAGACCCTGTTTCAAACAAAGAAAAAAACAGATAAACACTGTTTATAAGCACATAGGCCTTATCTACCAAAACAGTAATGATTCCTGGAGATAGAAATCTCTTAGCACATAAATGATCCTGCGGCTATCACTTCGTGATATTAAAACATTGTACTCCTTGAGCCTCGATCTCTAGTGTCACTCTGGATAACTGACTTACTAGTCAGTCTCTCTCTGTGTTGTTAGTGCATCTGCCACAGGCAAAGGCCTGATTTCTTTTCTCCTTTATTCAGCTTGTTTCCCCTCCGTCCAGTATTGGGGATTGAACATAGGACCTCCACACTCAGCAGTATCCCCAGCCCTTTTCCATTTTTATTTTGAGGAAGAGTCTCGCTAATAAAACCTGGCTGGCATGGATATATTAAGCTGAGTCACTATATTCCTGGACTCCTTTGCTGTACATTTGTCAGATGATAGAAATATTTATTTACACCCTTTGCGTAAAAACTAAACTTCGGGTAAGCAGCATCCTCTCAGTGTATCACATAGGTGCAGTGTGTTTCCCGCAATGCCCTTGAGGGTCTGTGTCCGCCTATGTGTCGCAGACCGTGTCACCCAGCCTCTAGGCGGGGCTCCCGAAGTAGGAGTCTCGAGCTGTAGGTCGGGAGAGCCGTTCTGTTATTGTCACTTCTTGTGATGATGTTGTTTTTCATTGTTGTTGTTACTGTTCCTTTGTAAGGTATTTTCAGTGTCAGCCCAAGTATGGCTTGTTTGCTCCGGTCCACAAAGTGACCAAGATTGGCTTCCCTTCCACCACGCCAGCCAAAGCCAAGGCGGCCGCCGTGCGACGAGTGATGGCCACCACGCCCGCCAGCCTGAAGCGCAGCCCGTCTGCCTCGTCCCTCAGCTCCATGAGCTCGGTGGCCTCCTCTGTGAGCAGCAAGCCCAGCCGGACAGGACTGGTAAGCCTCCCTCCCGCTGCTTGCTGCGTCCACTGCCGTCTGGGTACCGTGGGTGCTGCTGCCCGTGCTGTGCCCGCCCTGCTCTGTGTGTCTTTGTGCTGGGTGTTGGCTGTCGCCTGCTAGAAGGTCCGTGCAAGTGTAGCTCCAGCAGGAGTACAGAATTTGAAATAACACTTTGCACGTTCATAAGGATTTGAAAATCTACGCGTTCTCGGTGAACTACTGTTTATGTTTTTTCTCTGAAATTATTTTGGGCTAAAAATGACAGGAAGATGAGAGGACACCTTTTCTTTACGTACATCCTGTTGTTTTCTTTCTCTTGGGTTTCAAACAATTTTAGGGACCAAAGTATTTTGAAAGAAGTCACGTTCTTAGATTTTAATATTAATACAACCCAGCCCAGAGGAAGCAGTTCGTGTGTGGTGTGTTCCTGACATAGGCCAGAGGGTGTGGGGGGCAGTGGGCCCTTTTGGAACTTGAAGGATGCTAGGAAAAGCCCTGTTGTACTTCGTGTCCCCTCCCTCTTCATCTCCTGCTCCTGGTCCTCTCATTGTCTCCTTCTTCCCATTTACAGCAGTGAAAATAGAGTCTTCAGAATTAAAACGGCGCCTCATTTTTTTGTTACCATGATACTGTGTTTGGGTTGAAAGCAGTGACTGTTTCGGCTTCACCTTGTGCCCTTGAGTTTGTTCACTTGAAGCAAAGCTGGTGGTGTTACCAGAAGCAGCAGTGTGAGATTCCACTCCCAAAGCAACTCAAGATCTGTGCTTCCTGAGAGCAGCCTTCGCACAGGCGCTGGCAGGTTAACGTGGTGGAGCAGGGCACTGGCGTTCTAGGCCTTGGTCTGGTTTTGCTTTCGCTCCCATTGTCATCAGGCAGAGAGAGGAGAGGTAGTGGCATCTTTAAGTGTGTGTTGTGCTCCTTCGCCAGCCGGCTAGTTTGCTTCTCTAATGTTCAGGTCAAATAAAGACCACTCGGACTGTTTCAGTTTGTATATGAAAGAGGACTGCCTCTCAACAGAAAAGGGACAGCTGGACTCTGATGGGGAAAGGGTGACAAGAACAATGAAGTGGAGGTGAAGAACAAACTCTTTTGTTTAGACAAAGCCTTTTAGAAAAGATTCAGCAAGCTCCACCACAGACATCTTGTCTCCTTCTCTGTTACAAGAACAATTCTGTGGGAGTGTCTGCTCTGAGGCAGAATTCTTTTTTGAGTAATATTTATTCCTTGTAAATGGTAAGTGTCCTTGTTTGGGGAATACCAAGCCCTCCTTCCCCCTCCCAGTCTCTTGACCGCCTTTCAGACAAGTCTTACTGCCTGTAAGCTCAGCGTATTCAGGGAAGAAAACTGGTGAGAGAGAAATGAGTCCCCTGGCCTGGTGCAGCAAGCAGCTTGTTGGTATCATCATGGAGCGTGCTGTAGTTGCTAAACCAAAATGACTGAAAGAATATGACAGGGATATCAAACCAGTGAAAATTTGGATTTCAGCTCTGTTGCCGAAGAGATGTATTTTTGTCCTAGAAAACAGAAGTTGAAAGAAAAATGAGTATTTTTTACTTATTCTTCAGTAACTGTAGTGACTTACAGTTAGATTGCCTCCCATCAGGCACTGCACATCTCGTTGGATCTTGGGGTCATGTACTACAGTACTACCTTCACTTCCTGTGCTACGTTGATTGTCACACAGTACTGCTTTTTTTTTCCCTTGGCAGCAGCCAAAACCTAGCTTTGCAAAGGTATTGAAGGGAATGGAATATATAAGTCTAGTCATTTGCATGAAGTCCAGTAGATAACTTTGTTTCTCTTGACATTTTAAAACATCCTCCAGTGCCCTTGGAGTTTGCTGAAACTGGGGCATCTCTGCATATGGTTTAGGCACCTTGCTTTTTTGGTAGGGGTACTGAACACTAGCCCTTTGCACAAGATACACTCCTAGCCTTTCTTACTATTTTTTATTTTGAGACCGGATCTCACCAAGTTGCCCAGGCTGAGCTAGAACTTGTTATTTTCCTGCCTTAGCCTCTCAGGGTGCTAGGATTACCGCACTGGTGGGATGACAGGCCTGGTGGGAATCTTAGAGGAGATGTAAGTAACAAAAAGTATAATGTAACCATATATGACAGTGGGCCAGATGGTTAAAAGAGAAGAGAAATTCCCATCCAGTGTGTTTAACTCAAGAAATTTCACTAAATGAAAAAGCAAAGGGCAGTTGGAGTTTGATCAGATTCCCTGACCCTTGTAGTTATCAGATTGCTGAGTTATTAATGATGCGCGCTCCTTGCTACCAGGGTGCATTCTGCAGTGAGGGCTGTACAGACTGCTGAAGGGAAGAGCTCTCTGGTGACAAATGAAGCTTTGATTGCAGAAGATGAAGGAATGGCTCAGTTGCTCTGGAGCCTGTCTTTGCTAAGGAGAAGCCTTGGACAAACGCTTGCCAAGGGAGGAGGCTGCTGCCTCCCTTCCTCCCAGCTATGGAGCCACAGGCCGAGGAACAAGTAGTTCCACTTGCACAGTCACCCGCTGGCAGTTAGTAGGGTCATTTTCTCTTGGTTTTTGTGTGACTGTTGGCCTGAGTTGGAGCACTTGGGTGTGTGAAACAGCAGAGACTAGCAGGTGACTGAACTGGGGTCCCTTGGCTCCCTTCCTGTCTTTCTCTCCACTCCTGTTTTTCCTGTCCTTTGTGTCCTCTCTGTTGCCTTTTTTTCCTTGTTCCTTTCTCCTTCCCTGCTACTTCCCTTTCGACACAAATCTCTTTCCTTCTCTCTCGTGTGTGTATGTGCCCAGACACACTCATGCCACACACTTGGGGAGGGAGAGTGTTCCTCTTCGTCTCTGTTAATTTCTCTGGTGATTAGGGTTCAGATCCTAGAGGCTGGATTTCTGGGTAAGATCTCCCTGCCTTTCCTTTAGAAAGAAAGATGTAGAAAATCCTGGCAAAAATCCAGCTGTCTAACCAGGAATGGAGGTCTGTGACTGTAGGGTGACTGCTTCATAGCTTAATAGTATTTAGAACTTTAAGAAGCTTAAATGAGTCTCTACTTTTAAGTCTCTGGATCAAAAGATTGGCCCAGATGTCTTCAGAAGAAGACAATCTTTCTTTTTAAGTTTTTGAGACAGAGTTTCCCTATGTGGGTCAGGCTATTCTTGAACTCACTATGTAGCCCAGAGTGGCACCAAACTTGGAGCAATCCTCCTTCCTCAGCCTCCTGAGTGCTGGGATTATAGCTATGTGCCACCACGCCTGGCTTTTTTTTTTTTTTTTTTTTTTTTTTTTTGAGAGAGAGTCTTGCTGTGTGGTCCAAGCTGGCCTCGAACTCATGGTGATCCTCTTGCTTCAGTCTCCCAAGTCTTGGGATTATTGGCGTGTTCCACTATGCCTGGCAGTCAAGAAAATAACTCTTCTGCTCAGGCTGAAATAGAAGTTAGAGAGACTTACTAAATAGCTTCTGAGGAATGTTTGTAGATGCCTGCACACTCCTGTCTGCCCAGCTCAGAGTACCTGTGATTTGAACCGTGTGTTGCTAAATATGCTCCAGTTGTTTGAGTGCATTCCACGGAGATGTTCTTTGTGAGGAGAAAGACAGAGGTGTGAGCTGCCTTGTTTTCTTGCTGCAAACCCCTGCTTAGGACCTGGCAAGCTTATGAGCCTGGGCAGCACTCTTGCTTTACTGCGGAGACACTGCCATGCATGCATTGCTCCCCCGTCCCTATAGCACCATTGCCCTTCACTTCTCTAACTTTCCTTTGCAGTTGACTGAGACCTCCTCCCGCTACGCCCGCAAGATCTCGGGCACCACTGCCCTCCAGGAGGCGCTGAAGGAGAAGCAGCAGCACATTGAACAGCTGCTGGCTGAGCGGGACCTGGAGCGGGCCGAGGTGGCCAAGGCCACCAGCCACGTGGGGGAGATAGAGCAGGAGCTAGCCCTGGCTCGGGACGGGCATGACCAGGTGAAGTCTGGCGCTGACCTTGTTGTAGAGATGGTGATCATTTCTAATTTGAGGAGGCTGGAAAGTGTCCGTGGTGCTTGAAGCCAGGAAGCTAGACTTGAGAGAACCGGAAATGAGTATCAGTTTCTTTGCTGAGCCTATTTGAAAGCTGTGACCTGGGTGCCAGTTTCCATCCTCATAAAGATGAAATTTTGTTGTCGATTTTGCCTTAGTCTTTTTGGTCTTTATGTCCAGATCTTTGGGGCTGCCCGTGTTTAAGCCACCTTGTTTACTAGGTGATCAAGAGCAGTGATCACAGCTCGTGTCTGTAGATTATTATTGACATGTGTTTCAGCTTGGAAAAGGTGAGAGTTTACTGCCCTCTGTTGATTTAATGGCGTGGTTCTTCCTCTAGTTTCCAGGAAATCTACCTAGAATAGTCTATTAAGATAGTATTTAAACTGGACAAGGTTTTAGAGTAATGGGCACCCATCATGGAAATACCTGTGACTGGAGGCGTCTCTGGGCCTGTACAGATACAGATCAGAAATGGGCCGCTCACTGGCGTCTTTGCTTTCTCAGCATGTCCTGGAATTGGAGGCCAAGATGGACCAGCTGCGGACAATGGTGGAAGCAGCTGACAGGGAGAAGGTGGAGCTTCTTAACCAACTAGAAGAGGAAAAAAGGTAACCCCTATCTCTCTGCTTTCACTGTGTGTGTCTAGTCCTTCCTTTTAAGTGATCTTTGGAAGAAATTTCTCATCAAAAACTTTGTTAGTAGTTGGGCATAGTAGTGCATGCCTATAATCCCAGCACTAGGAGGCTGAGACGGGAGGCAATAGGGTCAAAGCTAGTCTGGGTTATATAGTGAGTTCAAGACTAGCCTGGAACCTGGACTATACAGCAAGACTCTGTGTCAAAGAAAAAAAATCTAAAAGAAAGAAACAAACAAAAACCTTTGTTGGTAGCTGGGCATAGTGGTGTATGCCTAAAATCCCAGTATTTTGGGAGGCTGATTCAGGAAGATTGAAAGCTTAAGCCCAAGCTGCACAATTTAGCAATACCCTGACTCAAATTTATTTTACCTCGGTTGGGTGGGGCTGGAGACACAGCTTAGTGAGAAGGCCCTTGGTTTAATCCCTAGCACAGGAAAAAACCAGAAAAAGCAACTGTGTTGGTGTCCACCCTTAGGACCAAAGGAACAACTGTGTGTTCAGCAAAAATCAGACTCTTCATGCTCTGTGAATAGTGTGCACTTTGATTTGACATGTTGCAAGATGTTTGGGATCATTTAGACATGAGCTGATTAATCTGGCAAATACTTACTTGAGCACCACCTGCTTGTTAATCTTCCTTCCTCCTGGTGGTTGCTTCTATTAGTATTGTGGAGGTGCTTCTAAGCAGCTTTCACCTGGAGCCTCTCCTGCTGAGCAGAAACTACAGCACTGGCGGCAGACCTATGGCACGCTGGCCACAGTGGGCTGTTAGTATCTTTGAAAGCTCTACAAGTTTTGCCATCACTGTTCTAGGTCCAAGTTACGTATTTTTTATGAAGTTGTATTATGTCTGGTGGGCGATAAAAGGTCCTTGCCCTTGAGAATCCCAGACCCTTATAGGAAAACAAAATCCTTGCATGTGAAACAATTTTTCAGGTAAGTATGAAATCAAATGTTAAATGGTGTAGCCAAGCGTGATGGCACACACCTGTATCCTCAGCACTGGGGCTGAGGCAGGAGGATCTCCACGAGTTCAAGGCCACTCTGAACTACATAATAAGTTCAAATTCAGCCTGTTCTCAAAACAAAAGCAAAAACAAAAGAGATGTTGAATGGTGTGAGGCATAAAAGTTTAGTTCTTATACAGGAGCTTACTTGAGGCCGTGAACAAATAAGATCTCTGAGAAGAGGCATCTGCGTGGAGACTTGTGACTGTCCGTGGGTGGTGGAGTGTTGGCTTCTGTTGGACTTGAGTTGTCTTGTTGTTTCTTAGTTTCTCGTCATTTCTTAGTTTGGTAATAACCTAGTGTCATCGCATGTGCAGGAGGATCCCAGGTGCTGTTGTGTTGGGGACGCGGGGAGAGCCACGCTGGCTCTTGGCAAAGGGAACTGCTCCCTCTGTGGAGAGAGAAGCATAAACCTAGGACCTTTTCTGTGCATCCAAGAGTCAGAGATTGTGATGGACTCTTCTGGACCCTCCAGAGAGGCATGGCTCCAGTGCCACTTGCTTCTGTCCTCAGACTGCCTTGGCTCTGAGGTCAACTGGGCAGTAGACCCGTCCTTGACTCCCATGTAGGCTTGAGGGCTTTAACCTATGGTGAGAGTTCTCATTTAACTGAGGAGGACTTTTTTTTTTTTGCGGGGGGGGGGTGCAGTTAGTGGAAGAGTGTTCAGCGTGCATGGGCCCTCCATCCCGCCCCCAGCACAAAGCAGGTGGAGCAGCATGCTGCCGATGCCAGGTGGATATTGTAGGATATTGTAAATCTGTGTGATGGCATTGAATGAGACCACACCCAGTGGCACATTTATTTTAACGTACCTGAAACTGTGGCATTTTAGATTTTTTTTTTTTTGTACCAGGAGTCAAACTTATGACCTCAGGCTTGCCAGGCAAGCGCTTATGCCACTGAGCTACATCCCCGGCCCACATTTTAGAATTGAAGAACAGGATTCTTGGTTGCTTCTCCCCCAGATCATTCACAACTCTGTTCTTCCAGGCTTCGAGCAGGTGCTGGTGTGTTGAGAGTTAAGGAGTGGCAGGTGTTGAGCGAGTCTCTGAGAAGTTTGCTGACCCCAGGCCAAGGTACCTGATACTGGGTAACACAGGCGGTTTGGTTTCTGTGCCACTCCTCCCCGGGTTCGGTACTGCAAAGTAGAATTTATGCAGTTGGAATCTCAAACCTGTTTCTGAGGTAATAGAAATTTTTCTTTTGTTTGGAGACAGGGTCTCACGGTGTAGTCCAGGCTGGTCTTGTTCCTGCTTCAGCCTCCCAAATGCTATAGAGATTTTTTTACGTAGGCTGGTCTTACCTTGATAGAGCCATCCTGCTGCCTGTGACCAAGTTAATTTTTTTTTTTTTTGGTTCTTTTGGTTTTTTTCTCTGGTACTGGGAACCGAACTCACGACCTTGCGCTTGCCAGGCAGGCGCTTTGCCGCTGAGCTAAATCCCCAGCCCCGACCAAGTTAATTTTTCTCACTGTTTATCTCATCCCTTCTGGGGTTAGTATCTAGACAAAACTTGGAATTTCCTAAATAATTGGTGTTTAGCTCTTTTATAAGCTGGAGTCCTAAAAATAGATGTATTTATTTTCCATCTCTCTAAAGCCTTCCGTCCACCACCATCCGCTGCGTTTGCAGGACACTGATCGTAGACTTTGTGGGGCGGGTAAGGCAGCCGTGTTCCTCCGTTACCTTCTTACGTGCTGTGTTGGTTTATTCTGCAGGAAGGTTGAGGACCTTCAGTTCCGGGTTGAAGAAGAATCAATTACCAAAGGCGATCTTGAGGTAAACCTTTCCTGCTCGCTAGAGCTTTCATGTGGATCATGGACCGGCGTGGAAGAGTGTGGGGGAGCAGTGGTATGCCCGCTGATCCCCGACCTTTGGGTTAGCGTAGTCTGCTGAGAGAATGGTGCTGCCCTGGGCTGTGGCCACACTGGCTTGTGACAGGTCGGCCTCTGTGGTCCTGTGACTGTGGTGTTCCAGTACCTGTGGCAGAGCAGATAGCCACTCTTTTTGTGCTTCAGCATTGAAGCCAAAATTGGATTTAATCAAGTCATAAATCTGGCAGTGTCTTCGTTTTTAAGCAGGACTAAGTGAGACTGCAGGTATTCTTCCAGATATGAGAAATGGTATTTTAAAAGAGTTTTTTGTTTTGGTGATGCTAGATTGAACCCAGGCCTTGTGCGTGCTAGGCAGTTGCTGTACCACTGAGGTACATCCTCAGTCCTTTTTAATTTTGAGATAGGATCTTTCTGATTTGTCTAGGCTAGCCTTGAAGTTGAGGTCCTCCTGCCTCAGCCTTCCAACTAGCTGCGATTACGAGTGTGTGCCACCATGCTCCACAAAAGAGCATTTGTTCATAAGTTTATGACAAAGTTTTTTTGTTTTTTGTTTTTGCCTCATTTAGCTTTGCTTTTCAGTTGAACAGAATACATCTTTTATACCCTATAAAAGGAATAAATTATATTTTCTAGTAGTTTTTTTTTTTTTCTCTTTGCGGTACTGGAGATTGAATCCAGGGCATTTATGCTAAGCTACATCCCTAGTCCCTTTTTCTTTTTTTCTTTTTCTTTTTTCCTTTCCCCTTTCTCTGTTTTTTGAAACGAGGTCTTGCTGCGTTGCCCAGGCTGGGCTTGAACCTGTGATCCTCTTACCTTACCCTTTCAGAGTGCTAGCATTGTAGGCTTGCGCTATCACACACGCAGGGAATCAACGTGCACTCTTATCACTGAGCTACACTCCCCACCCCAAATAGTTGCTTTTCTTGAAAAAGTAGTTATCAGAGCAAAAAGGAAGAGCAGTTTATATTTTAACTTCTTTTACTTCCATGGCATATTCAAAATTCATAGTGCTTTTTTTGTTGTTGAGATAGGGTCTCGCTGTGTAATTCAGGCTGGCCTTGAACCTCCCATGTAGCCCGGGCTGACCTCGAACTCGCAGTGATCCTTCTGTGGTTTTTTTTGTTTTTTTTTGTTTTTTGTTTTTTTTGGTACCGGGAATTGAATTCAGGACCTTGTGCTTGCCTAGAAGGCACTTGTGCCACTGAGTGACATCCCCAATCCCTCAGTGATCCTTCTGCCGCAGCCTCCCGAGTGCTGAGATTACAGGTGTGTCATAGATACTTTTTAGCATCAGGTTTCTCTTAACAATTATTCATGGTAGTTTTGAATTAGACACTAAAGTTAAATGGTTCTGATATTTTTTATTTTTTGCTTTTGAGACAGGGTCTTGGTATGCACTTCATAGCATTATGTAGCACAGGCTGGCCTTGAACTCAAAGTGATCCTCTTGCCTCAGCCTCCCAAGTGCTGGGATTACAGGCATGCATCACCTTGCTGGGCAATACTGATGCTTAAACCACTGCCACATATATGACAAATGTAAATTAACTTTTTCAATATTTAAAATTTGTTTTGTACTTCAACTGTAATATTTTAGTAGAAATTGTACTTGCTGGTGCAGTTCTTAAAAGATACATTTTTGCCACTGTTACAACTTTGGAGCCTGTTGGCTTCCCACACTGTGCTTTAATTTCAGGTCCTTCCAAACAAGAACTCTGATTTCTTTGGAAATAAATATATCTTTATAGTCATCAAAGAATAGGAGGAATATTTTTTGAGTTCTAGTTTTATAGGGTCCAGTAATGGTTTGTTAATAATTTAATAGACATCTTCACTCATTCCATATACAGTTGCATTCCTTCAGTTGACTTTTGCGTTGTTTTCATCCATTTAAAAACACCCCAAAGTCTCATTAGAAGTTTCATATCATCATCTAATTCACATGAGTTATAGCCTCTGATGTTGTGGAGAGGGTTAAGTTAAAATATTTTCATCAGCACTAGGCTAGTGTAGTCTGTGTGATAAACTGACATCGAATTAATCATGTAAAGGTCTCCTGAGACCCTAACACATATGGAAGCTTTAGTTGAATCTCTTTTTGGTTGTTGTGTAATTTTTTTTTATTTTTTTACTGATAGCAAACGAAACATATTTCTGAAGATCCTGAGAATGTAAGAGGGCACTTCACTGTGTGAATATTTCCCTTGTTAACACAGATTGATTCCAGATTAAAATGCTTATTGATACAAATACTAACTGCCTAAGCTGACCTTGGGACATTGCCTTTAATATTTTTGTGCATGTGGCTTTCAAAGCAGTTACATTTATGTCCTGAAGAAATGGTGTATAAGGACTAAGCTCCGTAAATCCATTCGTTTAATGAATAGGCACTTTTCCTTTATAGAGAATTTTTTCCAAAAAGAAAAAACAGTTTTGTTTTGAGGGCCTGACCTTTAGCTAATTCATATCTTCCAGTTTTAGTAGAATTATTGTGAAGGGAATGATGATTGATTGAAGCATAAAACATAGTAGATAAAGGAGTTGTAGAAATTCTGGGGAAAGTTTCCCAAAAATTGTCTAATCTGATTTCCCTGAGAGAGAGAGGAGTCTTGATTTCCCAGCACCAACTGCCCTGATGAGCGCTCCCGCTCCTGGTCAGTGTCTGCCGGTACACTGGACAAAAATGAGAAAATTCCTTTGTTGCCACTGTATTTTCTCCAGTTTCTGAAATTAGAGAGCAGCTTAAGACACCGTGTGTTTTGAATTTACTGTTTTTAAAGGGAGCTTCTTGTAGTAGCAGTACTACCAGGCATGTGGCTTTCCTCCTCCCTCTGATTAAGGTGAGACACGCAGGGGAGCCCTCACCAAGTGGCCTCCGGAGCGTTGCTTCTTGGTGCCCCTACCGGCTTCGATGCTGATTGGAAAGAATCCACAAACCTTTTGCTTTGGCACGAGGGAACAAAATTAAAACAACTACCTTTTTTCCCTGCTGCCTCCTGACAGCGGAAATAGACAACTCAAGATAGAACTTTTTAAAAAAAAGTCTTCATTCTGAAGGGTTCCTTTCTGCAAAGCTCCTTCGGTGATCTGGGTCTCTTCTCTGCTTCCAGCACAGGCTCGCTGCGTCCGGTGTCAGTGTGCATGGGCGCTCCCTCCTGCCTGTCTGTGCGCTTCCTGCGGGCCTTTGCTTTCCCCTCAAGCCCCTGTCCCAGGTCTGCGCTGGGGAAACTGTGTCTTGCTCTAAGAAAGCACCAGTTTTAAAGGAAGAGCTGTCTTGTTGAGTGGGCCCCTTGACGCTGGGTGGTGGAGGCCAGCCTCTTGCTAAGGAGAGGTTGCTGTGTCAGTGGGAAAATCTCTGGGAGAAGATCGCAGTCCGAGGGTGTTTGCTGGGTGTTTGCTTTTTACCTGCAAGTGGTAACTTTTGCCCAGAGGACACTTAGTATCAAAAGAAGAAAGGATCTGTTGCCTTTTGCTTTTCCTCTTAGTTTTAGATAATCAGTTCCTGAAGCTGTGACCCTAATTATGTTGTCCTGGATTTGATTTTTTTTTTTCTTGTGAAAGCAGATAAGTAGAACAACTTCTGTCTGAGACACATGTGCATAAGGAGACAATCCAGACAATTAGGTTTTGAGTTTTTTGTTTTACTGTTTTTGAGACAGGGTCTCAGCCCAAACTGGCCTTGGAGGCAATCCTCTTGCCTCAGCCTCGCAAGTGCTGGGATTGCAAGCATGTGTCACCATGCCTGGCTGGGTTTTGAATTTTATTTCATTATTTTAGTGGAGTATAGAGAACCAAAGCAGATTAAGAATTTTTAAAATGATTTTCATTCAACTTTTAACTATCCGATGATGGTTTGTTTATATCTGATTCATTAACAAATCGGTCTCTTGGATGCGTTGACATCTCCAGAGCACCAATGGAGTGAGTGAAGATGTTTGCAGCCTTATTTTAGCATCTCCCTTCTACTCAAGATCTGCACTCCTTGGTGCCATTTTGTTAGGATCCTGCTGTCATTTTCTCATTGTCCGTAATTGTCCAGATTTAGAGATTGGGTCAGTAAGAAGCACAAAGTATTAAAGTGAATCCAAGTTGCTAGCAGCTGCTGAGAGGAGCTGTTTCCATGGGTTTTGGCTGTGGTTTATTCAGCTGGCTTGTTGGGTAGGAGAGGTGGGCGGAAGAAGAGTACCTTTGAATTGATACCTACATTCTTTTTTCATTTTGTTTTGTTTTTCCTCCTTGGCACTGAGTTATATTCCCAGCCCCTTTTCCAAAATTTTTGAGTCTGGGTCTCATTAAGTTGCCTAGGCTGGGCTTCAACTTCTAACCCTCCTGCCTCAGCCTCTCAGAGTGCTGGGGTGTCAGGTGGGTGCTGCCAGGCCTTGTGCCAGGTTATTTCTACTTGGGTGACAAGTAGCTCTGCTGTGCTTGAGCCTGTTGGGAAGAAGTCACCTCATGGCTCCGTGCGCTGGCCTGTACAGGCCATGAGGGAGGCCGGTGGAGGCCTGGCCACACTGGGATCCTTCCTGCCAGCTCTTCTGGTGTGAGTGCAGACTTCTGCCATGGCGCAGTCCCTGATTTCTACTTTTCTCACCTCTGAGCTGTTCAAAACCACTTCAGTTCAGTATGAGAGTAGGAGCTGTTTTCTCAGGCTCTTAAGTTCTTAATTGGGCTCTTCAGGGACAGAGGCTGTGGAGGGTAGTAATCACTATTGGATATTTTCTTTGCTATCTTGATTCTCCTTGTTTTCCTTCCCCTCTGGAGACAAATAATTTTTGGAGCATTCCCTTGGGAAGGAAATTGGAGCCTCAGGGTCGTATGGCTGAAGACCTTCCCTGCCTCGCACCCATTCAGCAGAGGCCCTGCTGTGCTTCCCTTAGCTCTGGTTTCCAGGTTTACTTTATTAAGATGAATTTTTTTTGGTGTTTTGTTTTATTTAATTTTGAGACCAGGCCTTGCCGTGTAATTCTGGCGGGGCTTGAAGTCATGGCAATCCTCCTGCCTCCTTCCTGAGCGCTAGGATTACAGGTGTGCGCCACCATGCCTAGCCTATCCATTCATGACTCCTGTTCACGGCAAGTTGTACAGCAGCTACACAGGCCTGCTCTTAGAAGTCCCTGAACACTTGAGGATTTGTGTCACTCGCTGTCTTCTCCCTGCTTGGTGACGGTGCTGATGGTGCTAAGGTCAACCTACTTTTAAAGTCGTGGAGTCAGTTATGTACACATCGATGTCAAATAGCCACTGTGGGGCGGAGGGAAGGCGCTAGTTAGAGGAATATTAACCGTTCTAATTTGTGCTGGTAAACTTCACTGATCAATGTAACATCTTTTTGGCTGCATGCGTTTGACACATCATCTTGCCTCATGTGTTTTCCATTGTTTTCTTTCCCGACAGCCTCGCTCATGCCCCTGCACACCTTCGCCCTTTTGTGCGTAGTCTCCATCCTTACCCCTCCTCATTGGAGTTCCATCCTCTTCCTTTCCCCATCACCCTTGTGTCTCTTTCTGGCAGAAGGTATTGGTGGCTCAGCCTGCATGCCGCTCCCTCTCCTCTCGTGCTGGCATGTCACGGTGGCACTGTTGTGTTCTCTTCCTCTTCCTTTTTACTAACAGACGCAGACCAAACTGGAGCATGCCCGCATTAAGGAGCTTGAACAGAGCCTGCTCTTTGAAAAGACCAAAGCTGACAAACTCCAGAGGGAGTTAGAAGACACTAGGGTAATGGCTTTCACTATTTCATGAAGAGCCCCTTGCGTGTGAGTGGTGGACACCGCTGGTGACCTGCCTCGCGGTTGGCCCTGAATGTGCTCTCGGTGCTGCTCAGGTGTTCGAGCTCAGCGCGCAGGGCAGGCCCCCCTCTTTAGTCAGAGGTGGAGACTCACCTTTGCTCAACCCAGCCGCAACAGGGGGTAACCTGACGGCGGTGTGCGCCGTGGATTATCACAGCTGGATCTGGGCTTCTTTGTATTAATGCCTTGAAATACATTTCTCCAGTTGGCCACAAGCAGTCAGTTGTCCTCTTGTTTTCATATTCCTATTTGTTGGGTTTCCTAAATTTATTTCCTGCCTTTTCCCCTCAGGCCTCTTGCAGGGAGGAAGTTGAAACATTGGCTCTTTTTAATGCGAGTTAAGGACTCAGATCCCAATTACCTTTTTTTCTTGACAACTGACCTCTCTCTGCATCTCCCTCCTATCTGTCACCCAGGAGATTGAAATCTCAGTGGTCAGGAGGGCCCACGTAGTGGGAACAGAGTGGCTGCTTACGTCCCTATCTCACTGTGTTTGGCCCTTGGAGCCAGGGCACCAGGCGTCTTGCTTCGTCTGTGTGTGAGAGCACCATGAGAGAGCTCATGTCACGCCACGAACTACCCTGAGTGCTCTGCAAGTATTGTTCAGTCTCAGCAGAACTCTAGGGTGGTATTATTGCTCCTGTTTTTACAGCTGAGGACACTGCAGCACAGAGAGGTTAAACAATTTGCTCAAGGTCACACAGCTAATGGTAATAGTGGAGCCAGGTTTGAGTCTAGGCCAGGATTTGCATCTTGGCTCCACAGTCTGTTCTTTTTTTTTTTTTTCTACATACATGCAAGTAGTGGTGTTTATTGAC